TCTGTTCCTCCCTTGATTCTTCCCTCATATGATTTATCCATGATTCAAGGGCCGTTAGTGGCGTATTTCTCGAACTAGGATGATTTTGATTTGACTTCTATATAAATATTACATGAATTTGCTAAATATTTGAGATGCCTTTTCAAGGAAATATAGTATCCTTTATATAGACATAGGCTAGGGTTTAGGGTTAGAGTAACCTCCAAGAATTCTAACGAGAATCAAATACATCTTGTAGAATCTCAACTAGAATTGAACACGTCTTTAAGAGTCCCACAAATCTTCAATGTCTACACTTATAGAAATTAAAATCCTTACCGATATTAACATTACTTATCCTTTGTTGCAACAAAGAATAAGTCATTACTACTATTTAGAGACGAATACATGATTTAAAATTTATAGATTATAGATCTATAATCATTTCTGCTTATAAAATTAGATAAAATGTTATTGGATAATTTTATAATGGATCACCCCTACATATAGTGATTTTTGAACTCGAATTTGGGAACTCAATCAATTGTAGGGGTCCATAAAAGGCCCCTTTTAATAGTTTTTTTTTCCTTATAAATTAGGCAAATATGCTTGTCTTCTTTTCGATCTTATCCAATCTAATCCATAATTGTCCTTTTCATTTCATTTATGAAACTATTGAGAATCCAAAGCTTATTAGTCGGACTAATTCAGATTTGTTTTCATAAATTCTTTATTTTTATAAATTGAGTTTGATATTGAGGTCACTTATTAAATTTCAAGAGATCCTAACTATTGTATTGTTTAGTCTCTAGTCAAAAACCTCCTAATCTTGTATCAAAGAGTGACATTTTTTTTATTTTTTGTTGGCATTAATATTCAGAAATATAAATCGGATCAGTATTTTAAAAAACTATATTGGGACTCGCCTCGGGGCTCGCCCTAGGGCAGGGCTCTAGCAAAACGCTCTGAGACTCAAGTGTGGGGCTTAGTTCTGTAAGACTTACGCCCTAAGCGCCCGACTGTACTCCTTAAGTACGCCCAACGCCCAACGCTCGAGGCTCGCCTAACAGATCTTACACAATTTATGTGTTAAAATCTTTAGTTAACATTGTTAACCCTCATAATTCTTGAATAATTGAATGATACTTAATAATTTTTAATCTATAGAGCTAAGAAGATTGCAAATAACTCAAATAACAAGTTTTAGTATCGCATCTTTCCTATATGGTAACACTGTGAAAGTAATTATATATTACGTAACATTTCTTTTAAAAATATGTCGTGAAATTTTACTTTTTTCACTTATCATTGGTCTTCATGGTTTTGTCATGTCTCAAAATTATTATATTTTATTTAGCTATTTGAAAGTAATTTTATTTTTATTCATGATGGAGTGATGTTTTTATTATAATACTAGTAAGGTTATTAATTAGTTTCTTTTAGGGGGTAAATCGTATAGTATGATAAAAAAAATATTTTTGAAAAATAATGATTCTTTTATTATTAGAAAGTTAAGATATTAGATTATTTATACTTATATAATCATGTTAGAACTTTTATTTTCTATTAGTTTATTTAATCATATTTGTAATTATTTCAAATTATTGATTTATTTTTATAATTTTGTGTTATTATATTATTATACTATATTATAAATTAAAAATTTAAATATCCATAGGGCTTACACCCTACATCTCGAGGCTTACGCCTCTCCCTATACTAAGTAAAACGCCTCGCCTCACGCCCCCGCCTTTTAAAACACTGAATCGAACTAATTCAGATTTATTACCTATGAAGTTTATAGCTAGAAAATGCTCCTTATCAAGAATTTTTTCATTTCAAAAACTCGAACTTGAAACTTCTTAATTTAAATTAAAAGTAAGAGTAGTGGAAACATAATCATTCCATGACACCCTTAATTCAATATATGTTTGATTTATTTTTCTATTTTATCATCAACATGCTGCTAGCATAGTCGATGAAATTTCATGTTTTAATGTATTTATCTCAGTTAGGATAACCACAACCTTTTTATCCATTTTGTTTTTCTTTTTACACAATATTCACGTTTAATTATTGTGATTTTTTAAATTTTTTTATTTGATGTTCGATATTTGTACTGGAAGCTTAACTGAATTTTCTTGATGCATTATAAGGTTCATTTCTAAGAGCAATACTCATAGTATAATTATTTTTCGATGTTTAATATGAGATATTTAATTAATCATTTCATAACAACTTATATTGGTAAAAATAATAAATGAAGAAATAATTGAATTAGAATGGTGGACAAGTCCAAGAAATAGGTACTGGTGGTTGAGCATTTTTGAGTTATTTTGGATCAAATACGGCTCAACAATCAAAATTATGTGGTCCATCTAATAAGTTTTATTTGTCTACCTTGTATATAATAATAATAATAATAATAATAATATTGTGAGGTTATACGTACCGCACTCCCAACTAATTAAGGAAGGTTTTCGTAATTTTATTTTATTTTAAAAAAAAAATCGATCGAAAGCCATATTATTAAAATATTCATGGGATATCACAAACGAAAAACTAAGAAAACCGCTTAAGTCTTGTAAAATGGTGGAGCTTCACATATTGCTCTCCTAACTCCCTACAGAGGGTTCCGTAAAAGTTTTGTAAAAAATCGTCTAAAAGCCATATCAACAAAATATTCACGGGCAAACACATTGGTTTCACGCCAAAATATTCATGGGTTAACACACACGAAAAATTAAGAAAATCGCCTAATTCCTGTAAATTGAACCCTAAATGCCCAAGATTGACTCTAAAAATGGTGAGACTGTACAAATTGTTCCCCCAACTTCCTACGGAGGGTTCCGTAATGGTTTTGCAAAGAATTTGTCCGAAAGTCATATCACCAAAATATTCATGGGTTCACACATGAAGAACTTAGAAAATCACCTAATTCCTGTAAATTGACCTCTAAATGCCCAAAATGGATTCTAAAAATGGTGAGACTGTATGTACTTTCTCCCCAACTTCCTACAAACGGTCCCGTAATGATTTCTCAATAAAATCGTTCGAAAGTCATATCACCAAATTAATCATGGGTTAACACACAAAAAATTGAGAAAATCACCTAATTCCTGTAAATTGGTCCCTAAATGCCCAAAATGAACTCTAAAAATGGGGAGACTGTACGTAATGTTCCTCCAACTCCCTACGGAGGGTTACATAATGGTTTCGCAAATAAATCATCCGAAAGTCATTTTACAAAAATATTCATAGACTAACACACATGAAAAATTGAGCAAATATTGCATAACTCCTGTAAATTAGCCCTAAATACCCAAAATAAACTCTAAAAATAGTGGGATAGTACGTACTGCTTCCCTAACTCCCTACGGAGGTTTCATAATGATTTCTCAAAGAATTCGACCGAAAGTCATCTCACCAAAATATTCATGGCTAACACACACGAAAAGAGTGAGAAGATTGCCTAATTCCTGTAAATAGGCCCCTAAATGTCCAAAATGAACTCTGAAAATGGTGGGACTATGCTTACTGCTCCCCTAACTACCTACAGAGGTTCCATAATGGTTTCACAAAGAATTTGTTCGGAAGCCACCAAAATATTCATTGACTAACATACACGAAAAATTGCGAAAATCGTCTAATTCCTGTAAATTGGCCTTTAAATGCCCAAAATGGATTCTAAAAATGGTGTTAGCCCATGAATATTTTGGTGGTATGACTTCTAATTGATATTTTTGCAAACTTTTACGGAACCCTCCATAGGTAGTTGAGGAGCAGTGCGTACAATCTCTCTATATTTTACGACATATTTTGGCATTTAGGGGCTGATTTACAAGAATATGTAATTTTCTCAGTTTTTCGTATTTGTTAGCACAAAAATATTTTGGTGATATAACTTCATCCTTAATCATCGGATTCGAGTACTGAATATTGAAAAATTGAATAATTACGACTAAAACACTTTAGTCAGCCAGATTATAAAACATATATACAACATAAGATACATAGACTATACATACTTATACATAACATATACACTTATTCAGTCATATTAGTAAACTAGTTGATCAAACACTATGTATCTGTAACTTTTCCTCGAAAATAATGATAGTAGAATGAATTCAGATTAGTCGATACCCCCAACTAAAAAATAAAAAAGAATGTCCTAAGAAGAATTGAGATAACTTTATTTTTTTGTTTTTTCTCTTTAAATTTGAGTGATAGGGTTGGGTAGCTAATAAATGACTAAAGGAGTGGTCAATTAATGAAGGAAAAGGAGGTCTATTTTTATTTGAAAATATTGAGAATAAATAACTTGTTGTACGCAGACCTTACCTCGATTCTTATGTAGGTAGAGTGATTGTTTCTAATAGAAACTGAGAGATGTTTGGTCTCAACATATCATCCATGGGCACAAATTTATCATTGGACCCAATACAACATTCTAATTGGGCAAATATTGTAGATGGTGCATTATGGAAGATTTTGCACTTAAGGATAATTCAATCAATGCCATTGTTTATATTTTGACCTCATCAAAAAAAAGTTTTGTAAAAATAGCCTCCTCACAAGAAAATTGTAAGCACTCATGGTGGTTTCCAAGACGACTGACGGTGATTCGTCATAATTTTTAAGCAAAAATTCCGATGATCGACATGATTTCTTACTTGATATTGACCAAGACTTACCTTAAAATCAAGTTATAAAGCAATGGAACAAGAAAAGATGAAAAGAAGATGGAGGAGAAATTCTAGTGGAAGACCTTTTCCAAAGAAGAGATACAAATATATAATAAGATTCATATAGCTAAGTGGTCAAAGTAAGGCCGTGTACAATAGACTTTTGTGGTAACCCTTTACCACATCCCACATATAACGAGAGTTTAGTGCAACAGAGTGCCATTCTTATATAGCTAACCTCAAAAACTTATTTGAGATTTGACGCATAGTTAAAAAATTATGACAAATAATTCTTTAGAAGCTTCAATATCATCAAAATTTTATGTCAAAATCTTTAAGTGTGTATAAAGTAACAACAGAGGTCTATACATCAGTACCTTGAGTCCTACAACAATGAGACGGAATTCAGTAATTGAGGTACAAGGTTACCTTCTTAACCATTGCATAAGGCAGTTTTAACCTCCAATCTTTCTGTTTACGGCTTAGCGGCCTTCCTTTGGATGTTGGATCTCTATTCTCCTTCACATCCGCCAACTTCCAGATACAGCTTCCTGATTCTGCATCGATTGATTCCATGAAGAATATTCCATTCTTTTCAACCTTTCTAGAGTTCATTTCTTCTATATAGCTAACTCTCATAGGCCTATCCTTGAAGCGGGATAAGTCGTCCGGTACTTTTATTAGCCGCTCAGCACCAGGAGACGATACCTTAACATCACATGAAATAGAGAGCGTTTGCTTCAAAAAGTTAGAAATCATTTCTGTTTATAACAACAGAGAGAATACAACATTGTTTCTACAGTTACCTCAAGGGCCAGATCCTCAGGAATTTTCCCTAGTGCACCAGCTTCGTCTAACCTTTTCTTGTATTGGCGGCTAAATTCTTCCATCTCATCCATACTTGGACAGCCAAAACTAATGTAACGAATATGTCACACTACCTCACAGTAAACAGGATATCAAAAGAATGCGCTTACTAGAACCAAGTGAAAATTGCTACAAGATATGAACTCCAATTTCAGTTCATTAGAGATTGTTTAACTTGACCAGAAATCATGGTTAAAAGAGGAAAGAAGGACAGAGGAAAAGTCTTGGTAGGCAAATGTTTACATATATATAGCTGTCTATATACATGACCTATAAATACCCCTAGTTAAGAGGTCTAGTCCAGTTATTCATCCATCACAAGTTATATAATACACATTCAATTTTGGAACATCCAAAATGTTGACTAGCCTTCACAAATAATGCTACTATTTTACACTACTCTCACTTATCGGCATCTTTGTTCTTCCATTGGAATTAGAATTTTAAAGACCGGTTACAACAAGAGATTTCAGGTACAACATACTCTAGATCATTTATGAAAGAGAGAGATGTAGAAGTTGTTTTTCATGTAGACAGGAAGCCAGTGTTGCAATCAACAACTTACTTATTTGGAAGTTTGTCTAATCTGACATAGATGTACCCATGAGGACTAGTTTTAAATGAATAGAGCTCCATGTCATCACCAAATGGTAGCAGCACATCACGAGCAATTGATAATGCCTGCTCACCCCAAGAGCAACTTTGGAAAACTATTCCTCCTCCATCACCTCCATCGCCAATCTGAATGTTTGAACTGCTAAAATCAAATGGAACATATATATATCCAAATAAAAAATAAAAATAAAATGTTACTAACACTCCAAAAGTTCATGTACCTCAGGCTCAACTTCCTCTTCTTCTTCCCATAAATCTATTGGTTCTACGTCCTCAATCGTTTCATCTTCAAACATAAACACATAGTGTGACTCTTTGACAGAATATAAATTGATGAATTTGATTAAAAAAATCACTAAATTTAATTCAATGAGAATGTGAAACATGTAAAGAGAGAACGCTCTTATAATTCTCAGAATAAATGAACATTTCCAATTCTTTTTCTTCCATCAGGGAGGATCAATAATGTTCCCAATCAACTTCACCACAAGTCAAACTCAATGGGCAATTTACCAGTTGGTGGTGGAGGTACTTTACCAATACTGCTAGCCTCAATGCTAGAGCTAGGTGGAGGGAACAGGGTTCGATTTAATCTCCTTTGTCGAAAAATTATACCCGCATAAATAGGGCGAATATTTCAACGTAAAGAAAAATTCTACTGCAATAATGGGGTTCAAAAGTAGCTTTAAGTCACAAGTTCAAATCCTAGCTGTCACATTCTAGTGTTTTTCTTGCATCTCCTAATATAAATATCTGGCTCAACCATTGGCCCAACCTCACTCTTCAACATTTTTATTTGTTGCTTCACCAAATAACAATACAAGACTAAGGGTGTGGCCTAGTGGAAGTGTGAGAGAACCATGAGGTCTCAAGTTCAAATCCTAGCCAAAGGCAAAACTATACAAGCACAACTAGCCTTGTTGGTTAGAGTTAACGACCTGTGTGTGTTGTAGGTAGCAGGTACCGGGTGGAATAGTCAAGCTACACAAGTTGGCCCGAACACCACCCGTATTAAAAACATAACAATATAAGCCTAACAAAATTAATGCATTTTTCAAAACCCCTATCATGGAAAGATATTAACTTTCATATGGGTAAGTCAAAACTTAGTTTTCTTGAAAACAAAATTCAAGCACAAGTAAGGCTGACTTGGCATATATATACGAATATACGACATCTTCATCATTGTTTCTATAATAAAACAATACACAAGGATCATCTAAGCATAAAAAAATGAGCGAACAGAATTTAAAGCACGACAGAAACAAAACATCAAACACCTAGTAAGCAAATCAACAGAAACACAAAAAAATAGCATAGTCGAGATGCCTGCAAGCAGGCTCGGGCACCATTGGTACTAAAGAAAACATAACAACATAAGCCTTACAAAATAGATGCATTTTTTTTTCAAAATCCCTACCAAGGAAAGATGTTAGCTTTCATAGGGGTAAGTCATAACTTAGTTTTCTTGAAAACAAAATTCAAGCACAACTAAGGCTGGCTTGGTCTATATATATATTTGTATACAATAACTTCATCATTGTTTCTACATAACACGGAAGGATCACCCCAGCATAAAAAATGAGCTACCACAATTTAAAGCACTACACAAACAAAACATCAAACACCTAATAAGAGAAATGTGATTCTTGAAAGCAAGGCCATTTTGTAAACCATTTACATTGAAATAACACGTAAGGCTCGACTAAGCATAAAAAATGAGCTACTACAATTTAAAAGCACCACACAAACAAAACATCAAACACCTACTATGCAATTCAACAGAAACACAAAAACAAAATGAAACAAACAGAGCATACAGTGAAGTGGGTCGTTTTCATTTCTCTCTGGGGTGATTTCTTCAGAAGAATTGCTGCTCAAACACCGAAGAGGTAAAACTGAAATGTGATTCTTGGAAAAAGGACCATTTTTAAACCATTAGGAAGATTGTGTAGAGCTTGTTTTTGTTGTATAATTGTAAGGAAACGATGGTTATGGTGATAGAGAGGTGTAGGGAAAAATGGGTTTCGCAAAAAAAAGTTGAATTTGCTACTAAGCCTACTTATCATCATCTTCTTCGTCTGAGCTGTGGGCTTTGTTATGGCTACCAATTATCTTTCAGTTGCCCTTTTGTCTCCTATTTATGACTTGCCAAATTTTCAAAATATCTATTGTGCATTTTTTTTTTATTTACATGTCTTTTTTAAGAAAAATTTCTAAAAAGGATTTTGACTATTAGAAACAAAATTGGATGATATGAGCATGTGAAGAGAAGTATTGGAGAGAGGTGAATTAGACAAGATATGACACAACGTTGTATTACCGAAGACATCACTCTAGATAAGGAGTGAAGGTCGCCTATTAGGAATAGAGCATTGTCTTGCCTTACGATGGTTTAGACTTGTTAAGCACCAACTAGTCATTTGCATCTTGTAGTTTTTGCCATATGTTAGAGTACTCCCATATGTTGTGCATTGTGTTTTAAGTATCACAATATTTTGTTGTTATTGTTTCTCTCTTGCAGACTCCACTACTTTTCTTGTTAATTAATATGATTTATTCATTGTTTTTTTCTTGAGTCAAGGGTCTTTCGTTCATCTTGGAATAGTTGGTTTGGAGGTGAGCTATGTTGCATCAAAGAAGGTTTAAATAGCCTAGTTCGAATTTGCAGAATATATTATAAGAGCTCAAAGAATACACAATATGGATCCAAAACTGGTGGTAAAAAATGTAAGAAAATATGCTAAATTATCCATCATATTATCAGGTAAGTGCAAAACATCCTTGAATTCATTTTCTGCTTGCTACAGAATAATTTGAAGACGAAAAATCGCCACAAAAAATAAAACGAAACAGAAATGTAAAGGAAGCAACATTTATGCATGCTTGTTCTGGAGCTGAAGACAGAATATTACCCTAAAGGTACAGAAGAAAAAGAAATGATCATATAACTAGATTTACATGGCGAAGAAAAACATTACAGATTCAACTATGAAGAATAATTTACAGTCGTAAAATAGTTCTGAGAGTATCACAGAGGTTTTGAATCGTTTGTTGTTCCTGAGATGCTTGCATTTCCTGAAGAGGCATCTCTTCGTAGCACCTACATTCAAAAGTTCGCATCATCAATTCATTTGGACATTACCAAGTCTCCCGAATGATGAAACACAACCATGTTTTGATAGAGCTAAGGGCATGGGACATAGTAGTGAGTCGAATGGAAGGAAAATATTTGAATTAATTCATATTCAAGTATAATGTTATCAACGTACATCTTATGATATGCTAAGGCTTGAGCAAGATTCATTAGTGTAGGACTCGAGTTTAGTCTTTGGTATACACTTGAAGGAAGGGGAACCTGCAATCAATCAATTAAAGGTTATAAAAGGAGAGAAGATTGAAAGAAATAAAGGAAAGTTAAAGTTTTCGTAAGGAGGTGGTAGAGAGGACCTCATTTTGTCTGCTGCGGCCTTTCTTTGATTGAGAATCACCGGAGAAGAGTTCCTGCATTGCTTCTACAGCAGTCTTTCCACTATTATCCCTTTGCCAGTCCCCGAGTACATCCTCAGACAAGAGTGCAATCGGTGATATGTCAGTTGCTCTTAGAAATGGAATTGGCACTGTGTTACCAGCCGAGTATATGGACCAAAGCTGATACGCGCACAAATTAGTAGAAGTCAGAATCATACTTGCACCCAGAACAAGCACGAACAAGGAAAAATGAAATATAGTGACATCCAGAAGCAAGATCTTATAACAAGGTAAAATAGAAATTAACCTCAACAGAAAGGCAGTTTCAGCCCCGTAGTGAAACCGCAATGCAAGACATGGATGCATATAAATAAATTTCAACCACAGAGCTAGAAATATAGCTAGTGTCTAAAGAAAATCTAGAATAATCTTGAGTGATTTACAGTATTGACAAACCTAACCCAGAAGTATGCCCAGCATAACAGAAGCTTGCTTTCTTTATAAATATTATATAGTGACAACCAAAACCGATTGATTGAGAAATTAAGGAGAAATAAGAATAAAGGGCTATGATTAATGTACTCCATGGATAGAGCTCGATAAAGTAAAGAGTGTGTTTTAGATGCAATGTGTTACTTTTTTCAGGAGATATGGCTCAATGAATAATGGAAATGACTAATACTATTGCAAACTACAACTTAAAGAGTGAAACTTCAAAGTTGCAGCTATAAGTTTATCATGTGTCTTCTTCCTTCTCTGCTTAAGTAATAAAGAATTTACAGATGTCATATCAGTTGTGATGAAACTTGTGAACACTAATGTAGGATCAGGATTTTATGTTAGATGCTTTGGGAGAATTACTACGATTACTGATGGTTTAGATAGTTTTTCCATGAAATTAAACTACTACAGTAAGTTGACAATTCGGGTAACATAAGAGTAAAGCACAGAACACATATTCCTTATATTATGGAATAGGGTAGAAAAAGAAAGAGCTCATAAAAGAGGTGAGATGCAGAGCTCATGCTTGAGCACTTATGAGTACCTTGTCCAATGCTCTCCGACTGACAGTTTCACTTGGCAAGGTTCCAGTATTATAGCCACCGCCACCACTACTAACAGTTGCTTGAGATGTAGTACTCCCCTTAAGGCCCAGATCAGGAGAAGGTAAGGTTCCAGGAGAAGATACTTGCATGCTCTGTCTCTGGGAAATACCAACGGGTGAACTGACATCAATATCATTAAGCAACCTGACAAGAAATGTTCAATTTATTTAGGCAACGGACTAACTGCATGGATTACTGCTAAAAAGATACTCTCTCTCCGCACATATTTTACATTTCTACTTTACTACTGATCGTACTTTGAAGTTAGTGGGGTAAGATCATGGGGGCAATCTGATTTATAAACAGTTGGAATGGCATAATCACTTAGAGACCAAGCTAGTTACTCAAGAAATGGGGCTTTATCTAGTAGTATAGGTTAAGAAAGAAGACGGTCATAGACAAGAGAGTCGAGATTCACGGCTCAAAGTAATGCCAAAGATCAAACTGTACATAAAATTCACACTTAATAGAGCACATCACTCTGCTATTTAGTACAAAGATCTTCTCCGGGAGAAGACATGCCAAGCAACAAAGTTTTTAATGCTGATATTATTTGGTAAGGATGAATTACTTTCCTGATTTAATAGGTTTCACCTCCGCACTAAATGATAATCAGATTAAGGAAACAAAATACCAGGGATCATTTGATTTGCCAGCAACGGTGGGGATGGAAGGAATTCCAGTATGCCGGAGAGTAGATGACGCTTCCGCAGTTGCTGTTTTATCAATATCAGGTCCATCTCGGACTATCATAGTCCCAAAATCACCTGGTATAACAGATCCAGCAGAATTTATTTTCAGACTAATTACTGTCTCAAATCAACATTCATCGTTCAGGACAAACTAGCATATTATAGTCTTATTTTCAGTAATAGAGTTCAATATTTTCACCAATATTACAGAGTAAGCTCTACAAAAAAAATACAGGGTTTGCCTGTCACCATGTTCCACTGAGATCATTGATCTGCAAATGATGTATGAATCTTTCCAAGTAACTCCCGATTGCCTGAATTAAGATGACTCCCTCGACTAGCATAGAGATGAGATACTCTAACAGTTTGCTACACTAGAGTTACGCAGGGGCAAAGCCAGGATTTTTACTAAAGGGAGTCCAAATATAAAGAAGTAAACACACAAAGAAGCCACGGGGATTCAACATATCATGCATATATATTTTTTTTAAAACAATACCTATCTACACAGTGTAATTTTCCAACAAAGGAGTGTCAAGTGCCCTAGGATTAGGGTGGCTCTACCACCGGAATTGAGTAGAGAGATATGTAAGAATTAAAGATTGAAAATACAAAAGATGTAGTTTAAAGATATCATGCCAAGACAATGTAGCAACATACTCCCTCCATCTTGGAACATATACTTTGACCATTGCAGATATTAAGAGTACAACATTCAAACTACTTTGGTAGAGATACTTTTAAAAGAAGTTTGAAATGGGAGAAAGCAGAGAAGCTGAAAAAATGTCACCTTAATTTATTTATTTTTGAAATTGGTAACTGTAATTGTCACCTCAAATTTGAAATGATGTAAACCAACATTTAATAATATTAGTGTATATAGTTGAAGGAAAGAAAATTCCATTTAAGGAACTAAGTCAAGTCTTTCGGGACGAGCCAAAGATATCGTGTAGATGGCATCAGTAGTCATATTATTGGTTGAATATTCGGCCTTAAAACTTCTCCAATTGGAAGGAAGTTAAGTAATTGAGGAGGGTCTCAAAACAGAGTGTGAGGGTAATTTGGAGGTGAGCCACAAGGTGAAGGTAACATGGCACTGAGAAAAATGTAACAGCTTTCATATCGATTATACAAGACAGCAATCTAAAAGTCAAACTTAGCTATAACATATGGTTAAAAAATGAGATGTCTGATAAAATATAAAATTGGTCTTGCATTTTATGTTTGGGCAAACAACAACATCAGAACTAGAAATAAATCAATTTTAACTTGACGATGAGAAACAATAATGAGATATGTACTATTGTTGATATATACTTCTCCAAATTGTCCATAAAATGAGATAATTGAACATCCATAATATATTCAGATACAACTCGTTATCAATTGTACCATTGCTTCCTCTCTCACAACGAACTGAAGCTCCTACAGAATCTCAGTCAAATATATAATGCAAGATGAAACTGAAGATTACCTTCTCCCACAGGCTCCAACCTTGTAGAAGGGGCATCATCATTTTTCAGCTTAGAGGGAACAGTATCGCCAAATTCATCATTCACTTTTGGACCTCCAATTATCTGATGTTGCAGCACAAGGCTTTGAGAAACAGAATCTCACTTTCTCGGGGGTGGGGGTTCAGAGAGGAAATGCCAAACAAAGTTCATTATGAGGGATGTAAATTAATCAGGCATACCTCGGGAGTCTCGGAAACAATATTTTGCGCTTCCAAGGCCATTGATGCCCTAATTTGTTTGGCCTTCTCAATCTTCGGCATCATTACAGAAGCTCCTGCTTTGAATTTTTCGATGAATTTGTGCTTTGCAAGGTAAAT